GGTATATTATATTATATGGAATGCATGAGGAATTCTATCTGGATCAGTGGCAACAAAGTAAGAGTGTGGCGCAGAAAAGTTATTTAAAAGTTATTTAATAATTGCAGACTCTATACCTATAATATAAATGATTTGAACTAAATAATCTCAAAGGAACTCTGAGTTCCTGAAATTCAAGGATTCTACCTTAATATGATGCCCAAAAAGCCAATGATACTCTAAAATTTGTTATAATAAATAGCCTAGAGGACAAATTCCAATACCAAATAAAACAAAGAGGAAATGTATATCAAGAACCTGAAAAAATTTCATTCATTTTGAGTGATAACCACATTTTTAGAAATCAATTTTTAAAAATTATCAGAGTTAAGCACTAATATTTAATGTTAATTTCAGTGAGGAAAACTTAATTACAATTTTAGTATCTGACAAAAAAAAATCATTAAATGAGGGCATATCCATATGATACAAAAGCCCATACATTACAAATCAAGTTCTCAAAAAAATTCATGAAGTTGTAAGAACTCACATTGTGATTCTGAGTGAAAAATGAAAAATATAAAACAATATTTACAATTTTTATTTAATATATCTTTGCAAACGAAAAAAGGCTGAAAGAAAGTCAACAAAATGTTAGCAGTAGAGTTACACTTGATTAATGGAAACAGAAGTAACTTTTTCTTTATAGGATTTTTTAATTCCCATTTTCTACTATAATCAACTATAATGTATACAATCAAAAACAGCAATACAACATCCATTTATGATTAAATTAAAAACTCCAAGAAAACTAGGAATTAAAGAGAATTTCCTAAGTTAGATCAAAATGGTATCTACAAAATACCTACAGCTAACTATTCAATGGTAAAAAAAAAAAAAAAAAACTACTCACCTTCTCTACTAAGAAAAGGGATCACACAAGAATGTTTTCTCTGACTTGTCCCACACAACATAACTGGTGGTCCTAGCCAGTGCATTGAGACAAGAAAATGAAATAAAAGGCTAACAGATGGGAAAATGAAATAAACTGTCTATACTGGCAGACTGTATGATTGTCTACATAGAAATCACAAGGAGAAATAATAAGTGAGTTTAATAAGGTTTTGAAGTTCAAGGTCAATATTAAAACATTGATTTATTTATATAACCAATTAGAAATTAAAACTTTTAAAAGGTTAACAACAGCACCAAGTAATGTAAAATGCTTAGATACAAATACAATATGTATAATATTTCTATGCTGAAAGCTTAAAAATGCTAAGAGAAATCAAAGAAATAAATGGAGAAAGGTATCTCCACTGGATTAGAAAGCAATACTGTTAAGATGTCAATTCTCCCCCAAAATGATCTATAAGTTCAATGCAATCCTAATCAAAATCCTACAATGTTTTTCTATAAAAATAGGTAAGATGATTCTAAAAATTACATAGAAAGAAAAGGAGAGCCAGAACACCCAAAACAATTTGAAAATTAACGAACTTGTAAGACTCAGGCTTCTTGATTTAAGATATACTATTATATAAAGCTACAGTAATAAAGACTGTGCTTTTGGCCAAAGGAGAGACACACAGAACACTGAAACAGAATACAGTCCAGAAATGGATCCACACATATATAGTCAATTGATTTTTTTATGAAAATGTCAAGGAAATTTAATGAAGATAGGACAGTAAGAACAATCTTTTCAACAAACGGTGCTATAAGACATGGACATCCTCTTGAAAAGGAGAGAGAGAACCTTGACCCTTACTTCACACTGTATATAAAAATTAACTCAAAATCCATCATAGACCTAACTGTAAAATCTACAGCTATAAAGGTTCTAGAACTCTGAAACCTTAAACAAAATTTCTTAGAACACAAAAGCACAAATCATAAAAGAAAAATATTGATAAACTGAAGTGCATCAAAATTTAAAACTTCTGTTCTTTGAAAGACATTGCCTAAAAAAAATGAAAAGACAAACCACAGACTCAAAGGAAATACTTGTGAACACATACATGATTTGTATCTAGACTGTATAAAACTCTTAAAACTCAATAATAAACCCAATAAAAAATGGACAAAAGATTTGAACACTTTACCAAAGAAGATACACAGATGGCAGATAATAGCACAAGAAGAGATATTCACATAGAGTCAATAGGAAAATTCAAATTAAAACATCAATGAGTTATCATTAAGTATCTATTAGAATACCTAAAATTAAAAATAAAATGACAAGTGCTGACCAGAATGTGGACCAAGTGGAAGCATTAACCATCACTGGTGGGAACGCAAAATGAAACAGCCACCTTGGAAATCACTTTGGTAATTTCTTATAAAGTGAAACATGCACTTGCCACATGGCCCAAGAATCCCACTCGTAGATGTTTAACCAAAATAAATGAAAAAATATGTCTACACAAAGAACTGTGTTTTAATGTACAAAGAGGTACATATCAATGTTTATAGAAGCTTCATTCCTAAATGCCAAAAACTGGGAACCTAAATGTCCATCAATTGATGAATAAACATATTATGGTATATTCACACAATGGAATTACTACTTGGCAATAAAAAAGAACAAAGCACTACTATATGGATCAACATAGATGAATCACAAAAACATTTAGTGAAAGAAATCAGAAACAAAATGTGACATACTGTATGATTCCATTTATATTACCTTCCAGAAAAGACAAAGCTATAGTGACAGAGAATAGATCAGTGGTTGCCAGGATCTATGTGAGGGGAGGGAACTTTTTGGAATGAAAATGTTGTTCAGCTGGATTGGATGGTGGTTCTATAACCATATGCATTTGTCAAAGTTTATATGATACACTAAAAATTATTTTTTACTTGTAAATGATAACTCAATAAACCTTAATTTTTAAAATAAGCAACATATGACATTTTTAAAAATATGCATCAATTTAAATGAGCTAAACCCAGCTTACTGGGTATGAGAGAGGGGCAGGGAGGTACAGTAAGGAGGCCAAAAATCCTTAAAATACTGCAAATTTTAAAATTTATCCTTAGTAAATAAGAAATAAGATATACATGGATACAAAGAGTTAATCTAAAGAGAGTTCCCTTTTTTATTAAGTTCTCACTCTCTAGGCAGAAAATAAAATTTGAAGAGCTTTCAAAGATTATCAAAAGTCACGAGGAACAAGTTGATAAAGGTGCACTGTGAATTTAAGCTAGAGTTTGGAAACAACTTACCTAAACACTGCTCTTCCATTTTACTAAGTGGAAATGGTCTTTTTCACCTATCTACCCAATCCACTTCCACCCAACTTCTGCTACCAAGAGAAAGATTATAAACCTTCAATCATAACAATCATATATACTTTACATATCTTACATTTGCAGCTAAGGGTAATATAAAATGCCTCTTATTAGACATATTCATAATTAGCCATTTAAGTTCCAGATAAGCTCATTGTTAACTACCTTTCTTCTCTGTCTTACTGCCACACACACAAAAAATGTGATGCCTCTAGGTGATGATTTTCTGTTTCTTGTCTGTTATTGTTAAAATATGCAAAATAAACAAAAAGGTCTTTGAAGTTCTGGTCACTTCAATAAGAAGCTACATTTTTCAATTTACTAAATTAAGAGGTAAGTTGTAACGTTCATCACTTTGTTTTATGTTTATTCCATTTGGCTTAAATTGTTGCTAGGAAACCAATTCATAATCAGATTTCCCAGTCCACAGAACACCCTCCTAGACAGCCTAGAGTATACCAAACTTTGTAACCAGGGCAATTCTCTACTACCAAATAACTGGTTAGCTGGCACCACGCAGGTGCACTCAGCCTGGCATCCCCCATTTACCTAACAGGTACAGCATTACCAATCCCCCAATGCAACAGAAATTGCAGCAAAAGGCAATGAAATGAATACAAGTGTAGAGCTCTTGGATGGCAGAGAACACAGCAGATTTATTGTCAGTCTCTGTCACCCCACCCAACTATTCTGGGGTTTGTTGTTGTTTTGCCTTAAATTATGAAGTGAAATGTAAGCCCGCCCAATGACAAGATGAAAAGTCAGCTCACCCCAATCACTCCATCAGGTAACATGCAAACTGCTTCCAAAAGCCATCATCCAGCTCCCACCCAGATAAATATTTGGAGAGGAAGGTGGCATAAGTATCTGCACAGTTGAGAGGGGGAGGGAAGGAAAGAGTCGGATTCCTAAGGGGCCTCTGAGTCACCTACAGCTGTGGCCAACACTTTTACCCTCCAGGAAATCAGGCTCTGCCCCAACTCACACCAGGGAACCAAGTGAGAGTAGCAGCAGCAACATCATCCTACCAAAAAAACACTACTTGTGCTTTTAATAGAGCTCCACTCCTTAAAGAGCAGCCAAAAATAGGCTTCACGTCCAAAGCTTTCCTCCACAGTACGCCACACGCGCAGATGAAGGCAACATCTTTATTGTGGGGAAAAGGGAGGCGCGCGTATAGAGATGAAGGATACCTCACCATTTGGCAAAGTTACTGGCTCCTGCCTCAACCCCGAAATGCCGCTTTTGTTACAGCATGGGGCCTAAGGAACTACAAGGAAATGTGGCTGGCGGACGCTGTCAAGCTTTTCCCCCAGTGTACTTGGCAAAGTAAAAGGGGACACAGAAACCAGGCGCGTTCGGTGAAACCTCAGCGAGGATCACGTTCTCCGTTCGGTGGGAGCTTTGGTGACACAATAATCACGTGTACTTGTGCATAGACTTCCAAAAAACACTCAATTCCGGAACGTGCAGGTGCCGATGTCAGCCGGCTGGCGGGAGCGTGAACGGGTCGGCAGCTCTGTCGCAGGAGCCGGGCTCCGTTCCCGCCCGAGGCGGGTCACGCCCCCTGACTCCCGCGCCCCGCGACCGCCCGGGCGAGGCCGGAGCAGGCGGGCGGCGGGCGGCGAAAGCTCAGCCGCGCTCCCCGCCCGGGTGGGGCGCTCCCTGCCCGCCTCGCGCGGCTCCGGCCCCAAGACCCAGGCCCCGGAAGGCGAGCGTCCATTTACCTGCTCCCCGCTCTCGCTCGCCGCTGCCGCCGCCGCGCCGCTCACCCACGCTGCCAGGTGAGCCACCCCCAGCACACAGACCCGCGCGCGCACACCCGGGCGACGACCCCAGACCCCCGGAGGCGCCCGCGGCCCCAGTCACAGAAGTTGGGATAGCCCACGTACCACCCGGGTTCCAACACCTCTGCCCCCGGAAGTTGATTTTCGCCAAGACCCGCCCAACCCTGCGCCCGTCACTCAACGTAAACACGTGCGTCACGTGGGCCCAGCCAGATGGATACCGGAGCTGGGGCCCCAAGGTCAGAGACCCGCACACCCCTGGCTGGCGTTGTCCGTAGAAGGATGCCCAATGAAGCGGGAGATGGGGGTGTCCTTTAAGTTTGTGACTGCCCTGCTCCTTCTCAAGAACTACCTCGTGTTAAATACAGCTGCTCGTTCCTCTTGAGTGACAGGCCCTGATTCTCTGATGCAAATAACACCATCCTCCAAACCAAAATGAGTCCCATCTGATCTAAGATGAGCCCGCCTGATCTCATCTACACTTGCAGGCAGAGTTCAGTCAAAACTGGAACTGAGTAAAATGCCTGACGTGTAGTAAGTGCTCAAGAAATGGTTGTTGAGGAGACAACTGCTCCCTCGCCTCTTTGCATATCTGAATTCTCAAGTATAGGGATGCACCTAAGCGGAACCAAAGCCTGCCAGACCACTGCTGTGACTTCAAAGAACTCTGCTCTGGAATTACTTTTGTTCTTGTCCTCAACTTCAGATCACAGTATTTCATACGTGCCGTCTATGTCACAGAGAGTTTACTTTCAGCTGCCAAGCTACCCACTTTTTTCAAAGCCTTCAGTAAAATAGCTTTTCCTGAACAAAAACAAAAGCGAATTGACAGATTTTTATTCGAAAGGAAGAATGGTTATATAGATTTTTTTTTGTCCCTTTTAGACTGTCAATAGCTATTAGATTGAAACTGTCAACTAGCAGTTCTCTTGTTAAAGAGTCTTCCATTTTTGCCGTGAGAGAGATTTGGAGAACATTCATTTAACAAATTTTAATTGAGGGTATACCATATTCCCAGTACTGGGCCAAGTTGTGACAATTCAAGAGTGAAAAAGATACACTCAAGATCTTTGCCGTAGAGGAGTTTACAGTCTAGTGAGAAAGAAGGTCAAGTAACCAGAGTACTTTGAGCATTAATCTCCGGAATATTCATGTTCATTGTCCAACAGTCATGCTTTAACCCTTGGACATTGTTTTTCTCATCTTTCCATTGAACTAAATCGGCTCAACTCTGTAATCTCTGCTCTGTACTAGAAGTGGAAGATATCATCAAGGTAGCCTGACAAGCCTCCAGTAAGTGCAGGCCCAAGTGGCTAATGAGCAGTTTCAATGCTGAGCGGTCACCTTTTCTATACCATTTTTCCAGCTCAGCCCTTTGTTTGTACACACAACAAATATATTTCTATTGTAAGAAATATGATGCTTTCTTACACATATATGTTTACCTGTCTACTAGATCACCAAATCAAGGACTACTTCTCATTTGTATATTTAGCAATCTACTTCTCATTTGTGTTTTTATATCCAGCAATCTAGCAAAGTGTCCAGAAATTAGAAAAAATCTATTAAATAAATGTGTGTTAAACTGAATACAATTACCTTTTATCATTTTGTCCTTCATATCTCTTTCTGTTGGAAACTACAGATGAGTTTCTGGGAGTTTCCATCGATGTGTCTGTATGCTCACTCTGTCCCACCTAATCCAACATTCAATATTAAACATTTATAATAATAAGAGTAACTAATATTTATTATTTGTTATATGCCTGGCATTGGGCTGAATATTTTAAATCCATTATCTAATTTGTCATCACGATAATTCTACAAAGTAGGTGTATTAATATATTCACTTTTTAGATGAGGATACAGACTTAGGGAGGGTAAATTGGCCAAGTGGCATAGCAGGTAAAGCCAGATTTGCCCAACAGAGGAAGTTTTGTATTCACTAGAACACATCATTCTGCTTTTTGTGTCACTTGTTTATCAGTAAATCCAAATCCCATCATCTCCATGAAATCTTTATCACTTCCCTACACTAATCTGTGTCTTTCTTTATAAAGTACACAATTCAATTATTTTTAGTATATTCACGGAGTTATGCAACTATCACCACAGTCAATTTTAGAATATTTTAATAACCCCCAAAAAGAAACCCCATACCCTTTGTCAGTCACCTGCCACTCCTCCCTTCCTTCCCACTGCTCTCCCCAGGCCTAAGCAACCACTAAGCCACTTTCTGTCTCTATACATTGGTCTGTCCTGGACATTTCATATAAATGGGATCATGCAATATGTGGTCTCTTATGACTGGCTTCTTTCACTTAGCATCATATTTTCAAAGTTCATTTACCTATTCTTCAATTGCATTGTTTCTAGTTTGGGGATATTATGAATAATGCTTGTATTGATATTCATGTACAAGTTTTTGTGTCATCATGTTGTCATTTCTCTTGGATAAATACCTAAGAATGGAATTGCTGGATCATATAGTAACTAAATGTTTAACCTTTTAAGGAACTATCAGACTGTTAACCAAAGTGGCTATACCATTTTACTTTCACATCAGCAATGTATGAGGGCTCTGATTTCTCCACTGTGCCTTTTCTTGTCTCTTATGGAACACATGCCTCTATTACTTTTCAGGGTACTTTCTATAAGCCATCTTGTATTATTATTTACTGTTGTTATGCATGTATCTGCAGGCCCATTGTCCTAAAACACTGTGACCTTCTTAGATGGGATGCATGGTGACTACCCTCAAAAGGATCAAATCTGGAGAGAGAGAACAGACAAACCAATTAGTTATTACAGTGATAATAAGCACTGAAATCAAGTTTATTGCTAAAATGTGGAAGAAGAGCACCGCACTTAACCTGGGTTAAAGAAGAAGTACTTTTCATGGAATGTAATAAAGCCCAAAATGAGTCCTGAAGAATCAGTAGGAATTGACCACACTAAAGAGAGACATGAATATGCTCCAAACAAAGGAACATATACTTTTGTATGTATTTCCTTGCCTATGAACTGTGGAGGTAAGTATATTCTGTAGGGATGTATACTGGAAGCAAAGGTGGTGGTATGTGGGAATATGGCGGGAGAAATGGGAAATGTAGATGGGGCAAGATGATGAAGAATTTTGTAAACTGTGTTAAGAAGTTTGACCTGTATCCTGAAGGCAGTGGAAAACTGCTTGATTAGTCAAGAAAGGTTAGGGGAGAATTACTTAAGCAGAAGCATACATGATGAATTATTCGGTGGGATAGAGATCGCCAAGACTGGAAAAACAGAGAAAACCAGTTAGAAGACACGAAATAACTAGAATGAGGAATTATGGAGGCCTGAGCCAAGATGGTAGCCATGTAGTTGGAAAAGAGAATTTCAAAGGCATGTGGGCAAGAAGAAAGGAAATAGCTAAAGAGGTACCAAGTTCCTGGTTCTAGTCAAAGAGGCAGGAGATTCAGGAGGAAGACAGGTGCACTTGGGGATGAAAATAATGAAACACTAAGATGATGGCATCTTAGTTTGTTCAGTCTGCTATAACAAAATATTGGGTAGTTTATAAACAACAGACATTTGTTTCTCACACTACTGGAGGCTGGGAAGTCCAAGTTCAGGACACCAGCAGATTCAGTGTCTAGTGAGGGCCCGCTTTCTGGTTCATACATGGTGCCTTCTGGCTGTCTTCACGTGATAAAAGAGTTAAGGCAGCTCTCTGTGACCTCTTTCAAAAGGGCACTAATCCCATTCATAAGGTCTCTGACCTAATCCCCTCCCCAAGGCCTCACCTCCTAATATCATCATATTGGGGATTAGGTTTCAACATATGAATTTGGGAGGGGTAACAAACATTCAGGCCCTTACAGGTAGGTTGCACTAATTTAAACTTACTACCATTGTAGTTTATATGCTGTTGCAGTCGCCCGCAGAAATAACATGGACCCTCACCCCAAATTTGGCTCATATTTCAAGATTTATCATGCCCTATATGCATCAAGAGGGTATAAGAAGATTTGTTACATAATGAGGCTTTCTAGGAAGAGCAGAGCAGACTTCCCAAGCAGGCTTTAAAATGGCTTGAGAGACCAGGAGAAAAGGCTTTTTGGATTTTTTTCTTAGCAAGAATGTGGAACTAGGATGAAAAATCCCACACAGGGGGCAGGGCTTGTGTGGCTTAACTTTCCCACTGACACCAAAATAGGGAGCGCCCAGGTAGGCTTTCTTATCAGCTTGCCCAGATAGGAGGTGAGGGCTAGGGCTTGAAAGTTGTCAACAAACATAAAAATGGAGCCAGACTACTACATATACTTAGAGCTAGTTTCTTTAAAAACTCCAACTAGCAAAATAACATAGTAGTGTTATATATATATAATATGTGTGTATATATATTATTGCTTTGAAAATGATTGTAGTGCACACTGTAGTTGCCTTCCCAACATTTATTCCATTCTTCCCACATTGTACAGCACACATCTGAGAAGTCAGGGTGAAATTAACCTCCTCCTTATCGCCAAAGATAGTGCAATTAAGATAATCCAATTCTAGACTATGGTGTCCCCCTGGCCACAAAAAAAAAAAGAAAAAAAATTGTTCAGGATTGAGCAAATCAGCAGCAATCACAGGACTTCTGCCCTCAAAATTATGGGATACAGCTCCTTTCTCTTCTGTGATGTGAATGAGAAAGCATGTGGTCCTTGTTACTGAGGGCAGTGATCTTGTGACCAAGAAAATGAAAGAGACACAGAGCTGGAACCCTGATCAAATAAATAAAGATTTATAACTTTGTGTATAGGCACAAGGATATAAAGAGTAAACTGTCAAAGTTTGAAATAAACACTTTTCTGCCTCCTCCCTTTTCATCAACTGGATTCTTCAGTTTTAAGACATAGTTTGTTTGTTTTTTTTTACTGATCTACTGTACATAATGGGATATAAATGTGTACAAATGTTACTGGATTTACATTACCCTCCAGTGGTCATCAGTTTCCCTAATCTGGAATTCACACTTTAGGAATTTTCAGCTGATAT